ATGTGCTCCAGACAAGGTCCTTGTGATAAACAAGGCTGTTGCCCAGAGGCATAACAAAGGACCTGAGCTGCAAGTAAGCAAGAGCTGCCCGCCTCATGGCAATGGGGGTCTTGAGGCCACACGATAAACACATTGTTCCTGTGATTGCTGCTTGACCCCCATAAGATGGCTGGTTAGTCAATGATGGGTAAGACCCCTCAAGGGAGGGGCGACCTAAGCCATGCACAGCCACCAGGGGTCAGCCTAAGATCTTAGGGGGTAACCCTAAGAGAAGCTGGGGATGAGAAATGCCCCCTGTGGCTTGCCTTCCCCATCCTTGCTAATCTCAGGTGATCTATGCCTAGTGCCTAGAGCAACCACCTGGAAATTCTGAGTCAGAGGATATCTGCTTCCCTAAGGCTAAGCATTCCGGAATTTATGGCCATTGCTGAAATGCCTGGGTGGTTACGTACAAGGAACTAACTTTGATTTTTGGGGTATAAAAATAAAACAACTGGTGTGTTCTGCACTGCAGTCTTGTAACCATCTTTGTGTGTGTCTGTGTGTCTTTTTGTGTTCTGTGTTCATCCTCCATCCTGCAAATGGGCCACGACAGGGGTTAGTTTTCTTTTTTTTCCATAGGGATCTGCAGTTGTCTCAGCACTATTTATTTAGAAGAACATCCCTTTACCCACTATCTTGAAATACCACTTTTGTTGTATAATAAGTGTCCATATAGATATGGGTCAATTTCTGGGCTCTCTATTCTATTCTACTGGCCAATTTGCCCATTTAACTAATACCATACTGTCTTAATTACCATAGCTTCATAATAAATCTTGTTACCTAGTAGAGAAAATCCTCCTACTCTGTGCTTTTTAAAGAGGGTCTTCTTGGAATATTGTGCTTCTATATTAATTTTAGAATCAACTTGTTGGGTTTTTCCAAAATCCTGGATTAGATTTTTTTAATGTATTTATTTATCTATTTTGAGACAGAATCTCACTCTGTTGCCCAGGCTAGAGTGCTTTGGCATCATCATAGCTCACAGCAACCTCAAACTCCTGGGTTTAAACAATCCTCCTGCCTCAGCCTCTGGAGTAGCTGGCACAACAGGCGTGCACCACCACGCCTGGCTAATTTTTCTATTTTTAGTAGAGATGGGGTCTCACTCTTTCTCATGCTGGTCTTGAACTCCTAACCTCAAGTGATCCTCCCACCTCTGTCTCCCTGAGTGCTAGGATTACAGGCATGAGCCACTGCACCCAGTCCCTCCATAACTCTTACTTTCTCATATATAGTTTCCTTCTTGTCTCTTTGTACTGTATTCTGGGTACTTTCTTCAGATCTACTTTCTAGCTAATTCTCTCCAGTAATGTACAGTCTGGTGAATAACATATCCACTGAGGTTTTTTTTTCATTTTCAACAATTATATTTGTCAATTCATTAAGTTTTATTTGGTTATTTTTCAAATTTATCTGGGAGGGGTTTGTAGGAGTGCAATTTATTCTGGTTACTTTTAGAGAGCAATTGGCAATATTTAATAAAGTTGAAAATGTATGGCCTTTATGACCCAGCAATTCTACTTCTGGAATATATTTTCCCACAGGAGCATGAATAAACTGGTACATTTATAAGATAGAAAACTACACCATAGTTTAAATGTAGGTGTTGGGTTGAAACATATGAAACTGTAGTTTTATATAGTTTGACCATGTACTAAAGCTGTATCTATCAATGTGAGAAATTTCTAAACTTACTGTTGAGAGAAAAGTTGTCAAATTGCAAAGAACTCTTAGAACTCAACAATAAGAAAATGAACAACCTAATAAATGGGACAAAAGATCTGAATACATATCTTGCCAAAGAAGATATGCAGATGGCAGATAAGCACATGAAAAGATGTTCAACATATGTCATCAGTAAATTATAAATTAAAACAACAATGGGATAACTCCTGCACACCCACCTATTAGAATAGCTAAAATCCAAAACACTGAAATCACCAAATGCTGGTGAGGATGTGGAGCAACAGGAACTCTCATTCCTTGTTGGTGGGAATACAAAATTGCACAGCCACTTTGGAAGACAGTGGTTTCTTACAAAACTAAACACATTTTTACCATATGATCTAGCAATCATGTTCCTTGATATTTACCCAAGTGAGATAAAAACTTACATCCACACAAAAACTTACACATGGATGTTTATGGCAACTTTGTTCATAATTGCCAAAATTTGGAAGCAACCAAGAAGTCCCTCAGTAGGTGAATGGAGTAACAAACTGGTATATTCAGACAATGGAATGTTATCCATTGCTAAAAAGAAATATGCTATCAAACCAGGAAAAAACATGAAGTAAGCTTAAATGCGTATTACTAAGTGAAAGAAGCCAATCTAAAAAGGCTACATACTGTATTATTCCAACTATGGGACACTCTGGAAATGGCAAAATTGTGGAGACAGTAGAAGATCAATAGTTGCCAGGGGTTTGGAGGAAGAGAGGGACGAATAGGTAGAGTGCTAGAGATATTTAGGGCAATGAAACTACTCTGTATGGTACTATAATGGTGGATACATGTCACTATGCATTTGTCAAAATCCATAGAACTTACTACACCAAGATTGATCCCTAATGTGGACTATGGACTCTGAGTGATAGGGATGTGACCATGTAGGTTCCTCAGCTATAACAAATGCACCACTCTGCTGCAGTATGTGGATGGTCGGGGAGGCTTTATGTGTTGAGGGTAGTTGGGTATATGGGAATTCTCTATACTCAGTCTTGCTGTGAATCTAAAACTGCTTTAAAAATGTAGTCTAGGCCGGGCGCGGTGGCTCACGCCTGTAATCCTAGCTCTCTAGGAGGCCGAGGCGGGTGGATTGCTCAAGGTCAGGAGTTCGAAACCAGCCTGAGCAAGAGCAAGACCCTGTCTCTACTATAAATAGAAAGAAATTAATTGGCCAACTAATATATATAGAAAAAATTAGCCGGGCATGGTGGCACATGCCTGTGGTCCCAGTTACTCAGGAGGCTGAGGCAGGAGGATTGCTTGAGCCCAGGAATTTGAGGTTGCTGTGAGGTAGGCTGACGCCACGGCACTCACTCTAGCCTAGGCAACAAAGCGAGACTCTGTCTCAAAAAAAAAAAAAAATGTAGTCTATATTAGGCCAGGCATGGTGGCTTATGCCTGTAATCCTAGCACTCTGGGAGGCTGAGGCAAGTGGATCGTTTGAGCTCAGGAGTTTGAGACCAGCCTGAGCAAGAATGAGACCCCATCTCTTCTAAAAATAGAAAGAAATTAACTGGACAACTAATATATATATATATATATATATATATATATATATATGCTGGGCATGGTGGTGCATGCCTGTAGTCCCAGCTACTCAGGAGGCTGAGGCAGGAGGATTGCTTGAGCCCAGGAGTTTGAGGTTGCTGTGAGCTATGATCATGCTGCTGCACTCTAGCCTGGGCAACAGAGTGAGACTCTGTCTCAAAAATAAAATAAAAATATAGTCTATATTAAAAACATCAAATTACAGAAGCATCTATATGGTACAATATCACTTATGTAAAATTTAAAAACCTGCAAAACTATATAATATTTATGGAGACTAGTATGTAGTAAAAATATAATATGAGAAAATGAGACAGTCTATCATATAGTATAAAATTAGAACTCTTCATGAAATGTAGTTGATGTTTGTTCAAATGGATATAAAATAGATCCATGAAAAAGGGGTGTTACATTTGGACCTATAGTCAAACTGGCCAAGTCTGTTTTACCTATACTTAATTACAAGTATCCCCCCTCCCCCAAGTATTTTCCCCCCTTTTATCTTTTTTTAAATTTTTTTTTTGAGACAGTCTCAAAAAACATTTTATTTTTTAAAAACCTTTTATTTTGAAATAATTAGACACAACATAGTTGCAGTCCCAGTTGTCTGAATCTTCTCTTGTTGCTGGCTCATTTTTGTGCTTGTATCTTTTCTTTCCACATTTCTATTATGGTATTTTTTGTTTGTCTTTTTTTTTTTTTTTTTTTGAAACAGTCTCTCACTCTGTTGCCCAGGCTAGAGTGCTGTGCCATCAGCCTAGTTCACAGCAACCTCAGACTCCTGGGCTCAAGTGATACTCCTGCCTCAGCCTCCCAAGTAGATGGGACTACAGGCACATGCCACCCTTCCCAGCTAATTTTTTCTATCTTTAGTAGAGACAGGGTTTCACTCTTGTTCAGGCCGGTCTCGAACTCCTGACCTCAAGCAATCCTCCTGCCTCAGCCTCCCAGAGTGCTAGGATTACAGGCATGAGCCACTGTGCTCAGCCTATATAGTATTTTTAATATTGGTCTGACCCTATCTATATCATAAGTACCCAAGGGTTCCAACCTGTGTTTCTGCTGATGTAAGTACAGTGATTCATTTCTTTGTATGTTTGGTGATTTCTGTCAGGTCTTGGTTGATACTAATTTATGGACAGAGGGCCTAAACTGAGCATTCTTTTCTCTATAGAGGATTTGCTTTGTTTCTGGGAATCCAGGAGCATCGCTACCCTGGATCTATCTTTGCTTCCACCCAGGGTCTCCTGGTCAGCCTAGGTGTCCCCCTTCCCACTTCCTGATCATAGCACACCCTGCTCATGGCTGGCCACTCACTGGGTCTTTCGGAGCAACCTTCCCTCCTGTCAACCAGGCTCAAGTAGGATCGAATTGGTTTTTCATAGTCAGGGCTCTCCCAAGTGTGGCTCCAACCTACCTGGCTACCTTTGGGTTTTGAAGCAAGTGCATTAGCCTCACTCTGATTCCTTTGCAATATGGGGAGATTAATCCCTACTTTTACAAGGTTGTTATGGGGATTACAGACAATAAGTGAAGCCTTAAGTCAATGGTGCAGGATGAGATCTCAATGCTTGTCTGCTCAAGTTTTCTCCGTTTACCCAGGGCACTAAGGGTCCAGCTTTCCTGTCTGGTGAGCCACCTTCCATTTCCACCCTTACAGAGATACCAGAGGCCAGAGGTACAACAGACCAGCACAGATGCTTTATTGTTTTCTTTATAAAACATGAAAACCCAGGCCCCAGGACAAGAGTGATGCTGGGGGACAGAAATAATGGAGTTTTCGGTGGGTCCTGGCATGGGGGCAAGCAGCCAGATCTTGCCATAGGCTCCATTTGGCTGGGCTTGACTTCTGGCAAAGGGCTGGTCTTCTTGCCTGCAGCCCACCTAAGGCCAGGCCCTGCAGGTGGGGGAAGCTCGGGCAGAAAGAAGATGTGGCCCATGGCCATCCCTGAGTTTGTAGTAAGCAGTTATTGGTTCGGCAAGGGTGAGGCTGAGTGGGAGCCAGGCCAAGGGGCCTCATGGTTCCCTCTCACAGCTCCAGCTGGGCCACCGGCTTCACCACCCAACTATTTGCTCACCTGCCTGCCATGCTCCCGCCTGATGCCAGCCCCTGGGAGAGAACATCTGAAGGCAAGAAGGAAGAAGGCCCCTGCCTAAGCTTCTTCCTTCCTTCCTGGTCAAGCGGCAGGAACAGCTGAGGCCATTTCTTTAACTGAAGAACCAAATAGGGGCTGGGACAGGGCACCCAGTAAGGCTTATGAACACGTCTTTGAAAACCATATCTAAGCTAAAAGCATCAGTCCATCCCCAGCCCAGCTCAGTGCAGGGCAAGAATCCAAAAGGCAGCACTGAGAGCCAACCTGGCTGGGGCTGGGGTCCTAGCACCACTTCTTCCCCGAGCCTCAGAGCCCGCTGCTGCCTGGCTGAGAGGAGGCCAAGGCCCAGCCCAGCGGAGCCTATCTCCCAGGCTGCAAGTGGTTGTGGAGTTGCTCTGCCTGAGTCTTCAGGTGCTGGAATTCCTCTTGAATGAAGTCAGTCAGGGCCTTGCGCACCTCCACCTGAGTGAAAGGACCAGGGCTGACCTGCACCCCTCAGGAAGCATGGCCCAGGTACCCTGGGAGGCAGAAGGGGATGGGAGGGGAGAGGCACCTCATCGGTAGCCCACGCAGGGGGCTGAGGACAGCTATGGGAAACTGGGGAGCAAACTCACAGCTGACTTGTTCTCTGCTCGGAGCCGCTCGAGCACAGGGAGGGCAGTGAAGGGCTTCCCAATCAGCACAGTGATCTTCTGTGGGGAGGCCAGCCGCTGAGAGTGAGCAGGGGGAATGCCCGCAGCCCTTGATGTGCTTCGTGCTCCCTTGGGGCCACTCTCCCTCGTCCCCACCTAGAGTCTGACCCTGACCCTGACCCAACCTGATTTCCTCAGCTCTCATTCTAATATTCTTGGTGCCAGGAAGTCCCTGTCTATGTCCCACTCAGTCCCCCTGCTACAGCTTTAAGCTCAACTCCTTCTGCATCCAGCCTCTGTAATGCTGAGTGGGAGACACCGGGCAGATGGCAGAGGGGCAAACAGACAGACAAAGGTCAGCAGCCGCTACTCACCTGTCCAAAGCGGGGGAAGTAGGGCGGACTATTAGGAAGGACATCATTCATTCCTGCAGCACAGTGGACAGAAGGCCAGATGTGGGGTGGAGCAGGGCAACCTGGGACCAGAGGGTGTCCTGGGCTCCCCACCCCAGATGCCCTCTCTCTGCCACCCAGCAGAACTGCCCTACAACACCACCTAGGGAAGCCACTCTCCCTGCCCTCATCCTCAGACTCACCAACATGCCACAGTGGTAGGATGATGGGGTTAAGATGACACTCAGCAATCAGGCGCCCAATTCCTGCCGGTGTGGAGGGGAGGCAGAAACACTGGCAAAAGCTGAGTCCTGGGCCAAGCTTCTGTGCCAGCCTACAGCCAGTGCCACCCAACGTCCCCCAGTTACAACCAGCTACCCTAGGCTAGCCCCTCAATAAGGCAAGCCCTTCTCTCAGCACCTGTCCCCTCCCTGCTGCTGCAATACACCCATCTGCCACAGTGTAACCCAGTGCAGAGGGGGCAGGAGCCAGGGTCCCACAGGGCCACCTCTGGGCTGGGAGGATAACCGTGCCCAGGAGCAGCATCCCTTACCCCATTTGAAGCGCAGAAACTCAGAGCTCATGTTCACTTTCCCTGGCGAGAGAACACAGAGGTGAGGCTCAGCAGCCCATCCTGCTCATACTGAGGGCTTGACCCACCAGCCTGCTGACCTTCTGGGAAGATGTGCACCCAGTCCCCATGGTTGAGCTTCTCCAAAATGAAGTCCATCCCCTTCTGGTAGACGCCATCGCCTGAAGACAAAAGGCCTCTCCCCATCAGTCCCCATTCAGGGTTGGGGGTGTGATTGAAACAGGCCTGTGCATTGAGGCCTCTCCCCATCAGTCTGCCCCTTCCTGGGAAGGAAGCAGCAGCTCAGGGCTCTCCTCATGCCCCACTGTGCCATCCACACAGACACCCTCCATGACTGTCTCCAGGGCCTGCTCAGGCCCTGGACACACTATGGCCCTTGACTTCCTTCGTTCAACAATATCCTCTAAACCTCAAGTGTCTGTTACATGCAAGAGAGCATTATCTCAAGACATCACCTACTGGCCAGGTGCAGTGGCTCACACCTGTAATCCTAGCACTCTGGGAGGCCGAGGTGGGCGGATTGCTCGAGATCAGGAGTCCAAAACCAGCCTGAGCAAGAGTGAGACACTGTCTCTACTATAAATAGAAAGAAATTAATTGGCCAACTAAGAAAACATTAGCCGGGCATGGTGGCACATGCCTGTAGTCCCAGCTACTTGGGAGGCTGAGGCAGCAGGATTGCTTGAGCCCAGGAGTTTGAAGTTGCTGTGAGCTAGGCTGACGCCATGGCACTCACTCTAGCCTGGGCAACAAAGCGCGACTCTGTCTCAAAAAAAAAAAAAAAAAAAAGACATCTCCTACTGAGATTCTGAACTTGACAATTCCTCTACCTACCTATGACCCCCCCCCTTCAGTGGCTCATCTGCTAAGCTGCTTCAACTACATACACCTATACACCCTCAAAGACCCACAGGTCAGCTCACCACCCACCTTTCCTCCCCAGCCAGGTCCCAGCTGCCAGTCACCATTCTCAGAGCCTCCTTTTCTCCTTGGATGTGACACCCCAGGGTGATCCTACCATGTGCTGCCCCTGGCCAAGAGGGCACTGCTGAAGCAAACCAAGCTCAGCCTCGCAACCTGTTCCTAGGGTGTTAGCCAGTTCCCATGGCCACTCCTCATGGGGCACCTGCCTGAGGCCTCAGCCTCCTTCATTCCTCCCTCCTGCTGGCCCCTTCCTCTCAAGGCTCCCCTGAAAGCTAGACCCTTGCTTAGGGAGGCCTCTTGGGAAAGAGAAAACATTCAGTTGAACAGATTGTATCATTAAGAGCTTGGGAAAAACTCAAACTTGATAGACTGAAAAAAGTGGAGTCAAGCTGCCCCTGATTCTAGCAGCCTTCCACTTAGGAGACAGCCTGACACTAGACCAAAGAGAAAGAAATGCAAACCTGGACCTTGGTGGCCCAGCAGCCAGCCACAACACAGAGGCAAATGCCTGATGCTGTGTGCTGGCTCGCATCTTGGTGTCACTTGGAGACAACAGTACCCAGTAAGAATCTCATAAACCTCAATGATGGAAAAATAACCATATGGTGGACAAAAGCAGGAAAGAGGAAGGGGGGAGATTGAAGGAATGGAGTATAGTAAATATCCTCATCTTATCAGGTGGGGAGTAAAGTAGCCCTATCACAAAGAGGGAAAGAGACAAACATTAGGAATATCTCTGGTTCATGTAGTAAGAAATGGACTTTTAACCTGTTCTCTGCAAGGCTGATTCTTTAGAAGGTGCTAGTTAGGGATTCAGGATTCTCAACCTAACCCAAATAGGGACCTGACCCAGCAGCTCACTCAGGGGCTAGAGGTGGGGAATGACTGATTACCCACTTAAGTCCAAGTAAGAACAGTGGTTTCCCTACTTGGGATTGCAGTATGTAGCAGGGGGTGGTCTTCATAGGTGCTGGTCCTTCTCTACTAAAGCCCACTGGTACAATCTATCCATTGAGCTTGAAATTGGAATTAAAAAATAATATTCTTTTGGAGCAACACTTCATGATTTTTAGCTTTTCAAATGCTATTGCTACCCACTTGTGTAAATTATGTAAAATCACTTGAGTACTTAAATATATTACAAAATCTATAGAGAAAAAGGGAATTTATTGGAACACAATAAGAACACAATATGTCAAATACATCCTTTACTTTAATCGTGTTATTATTAGATCTTTGCTGAATGCCAAATGGGTTTGATAAATAACTTGTCCACTCACTTTCTCTCAATGAAGGTGCTTGGGATTAAGATTTCACTTTCTAGGCTGGGCACGGTGGCTCACGCCTGTACTCCTAGCACTCTGGGAGGCTGAGGCAGGTGGATCACTAAAGGTCAGGAGTTTGAAACAAGCCTGAGCAAGAGCGAGACCCTGTCTCTACTAAAAATAGAAATTAATTGGCCAACTAAAAATATAGACAAAAAATTAGCTGGGCATAGTGGCGCATGCCTGTAGTCCCAGCTACTTGGGAGGCTGAGCAGGAGGATTGCTTGAGCTCAGGAGTTTGAGGTTGCTGTGAGCTAGGCTGATGCCATGGCACTCTAGCCCGGGCAACAGAGTGAGACTCTGTCTCAAAAAAAAAAAAATTATATATAAAAAAAAGATTTCACTTTCTGTTTCTAATTGTACAACAAAACCTAGATGCAGATGAAAAATAAAGAAGTGGATATGGAAGGCCTCTTCCTGAGGTTGCAGAGAGGAGGAACTGAGACTCGGGGACAGGGAATAAATAAGCAGAGTCCCCATTTCTCAGAGCAGGTTGCAATAAACACCACCACGGTCATTCACCAAGACATTGTGGCCTCTGCTTGTTCTCCTACAGAGATAGAAGTAGCCTCCATGGCTGGGTGTGGTGGCTCACGCCTGTAATCCTAGCAACTCTGGGAGGCCGAGGCGGGCAGATCGTTTGAGCTCAGGAGTTCGAGACCAGCCTGAGCAAGAGCGAGACCCCGTCTCTACTAAAAAAAAAAAATAGAAAGAAATTAGCTGGACAACTAAAAATGCACACACACACACACACACACACACACACACACACACACACATATATATATATATATATATATATATATATATATTTAGCTGGGCATGGTGGTGCATGCCTGTAGTCCCAGCTACTTGGGAGGCTGAGGCAGGAGGATCACTTGAGCCCAGGAGTTTGAGGTTGCTGTGAGCTAGGCTGATACCACGGCACTCTAGCCCAGGCAACAGAGTCAGACTCTGTCCCCCCCAAAAAAAGAAAAGAAAAGAAAAGAAAAACAGAGATAGAAGTAGCCTCCAAAAGCAGTAAAAAGAGGAACCATTCCAAGTGGTTGTTTCTGGGAAGTGGGACTAAAGATATGGAGGAGTAGGCACCGCCATGTTCCATTCAAAGTCCTTTTGATTCAATCTGAGAAAACTGATATAAATAAATAAATAAGCCTTTTGTTATTTGAGGTTACTTTATGCGGTTTTACCACATTCTACTTAGACCAACTAAACTAGAAATAATAAACTCTCCCTTGACCTCTAATATCCTTTGGTTACTCCCTCCTCTCCCTTCTTCCTCACAAGGGAACCTCTGGGAAGAACGTCCCCCCCTGCTGTCTGTACTCTCCAGCCCACTGCAGTGCCACCAGCCCTCTCAGGCCACAGCAGGCTGGCTCCTGGGGCCGTTACTCCATGGGAATAGCTTCTCCAGGGTCACCTGTGGCTGCCATGGTGCCATAGGCATCTGGTTTGCTTCTTTCCTCTCTGCACCCTGCCACCTTGGTGGCTTTTCTCTCGCTGTGTGCTTTGAGGCACCATCCTGGGCCACTGCTCATTCTCTTTGCTCTCTCTAGAATCTTGCCTCTAAGTCCATGACTTCATTTGTAGTTGAATCCCCAATATCTTTATTCCTGATCATTCTTCTGAGAAAGTTCCAGAACTGCATATCCCACTGCCTCTGGGACTGTTCCCTTGCACGGGTGACAGGCTCCTCAGATGCAGCACATGCAAAACAGGACTCACCCTCTTCCCTCCCAACCCCATGTCGTGTCTCTCTTGCCCCATCCTCCTGGAGGCTCAGGCCAAACACCTGGTGTCAGCTTTGAGTTCTCTTTTCCTTATCCCATGCCACATCTAATCCATTTACAAGTCTTGCCAACTCTGCCTCCAGAGCATATCCCAAAACAGTCCCCTTCTCCAGCTCTCCACAGTGACCCCCAGAGGCCAGCCACAATCATCTGCTACCAGAACTACACTGCAGCAGCCCTGACCTAGGCTCCCTGCCCCAACCCAGCCCTGCTTCCATCCAGCAGCCAGGATGCTCTCTCTGAGCAACAGATGCAAGCATGTTAGCCCCCTGATCACAGAGTAGAGCCCAAAATTCTTAACAGAACTATTCCAGAACTTTCACATTCTGTCCACAACCTATATTTCCTACCTTTCCGCCTTATCTCTCCAGCGCCTGGCATGTGCTTGCCCATGTCCAAAACACCTTTCCCCTAGTTATCTTTTTGGAAAAATTCTGCTTCCCCAGAGGAGAAAGCAATCTAGATTCGAAACCTGGCTTTGCCACCTCTCAGCCCATGACCTTGGGCCAGCATCTTAATCCCTCATCTGGAGAATGGGGACCAAAACAGCCCCTTACCTCCTGGGATTCTTGAGAGGTCCCAAGTAGTCACTCAATCTCAGACACTTCATCCCACGAGTCTGTTTGTTCTCCCAGAAGCAAAACTTTCTGGCCTCCCAGTACATGCTACTACCAACATGGACTGATGACAATGCACTGCTGTCAGTGAGTCTCCCAGTGACTTCCCTGAGAGAAGAGGCTGTGGATAATGCCTCCCTGAATTCCAATGCTATAGCTCTGGCTCCACATGATCCCTGGGCAGTTGCAGAGATTGAGGGCTCTCCACAAAGCCATCCCTCCTCCAGCAGCCTCTGCCACCTCTGCTGCCACATCATGGAGCTGGACCTCACACTAGCTCCCAGACTGCCTGTCTCCCATGGGTCCTTCCAAGACAGATGTGCTGGCCACCAGCCTCCCTGCTCTAAAAGCACCTCCCTGCACTCCCTGGAGGAAGAGCTCACCTCGGCACACAGGCACACACTTGCCCAAGCTGAAGAAGTGGGAATGCAGCTCCTTGGTGAAGCAGATGTCTGCAGCTGCAGGGGTCCTGGAACAGGGAAAGATGTAGTCAGCCCCACCTCCTCTGTAGCATGCTGCCCCACCCCACCCCCAGCATGAGACCTGACATCATTGGCATGCAGAAGGGAGGCACAGGAGGGCCTGTGGGGGCCCCATCCCACGCCCTGCCTGGACTGCTGGACGCCACCTCCTGGGCAGAGCAGGAGGAGAGCAAATCTGGGCAGAGACAGGTAGGGGCTGTCAGGCCCACTGTGAGGGGCCCATTCTTCCTCACCAACGCATCAACTTCAGGTTCCAGATGTGGCGGAGTTTCAGGATCCCTAAAGAAAGAGGGGAAAGGCTTCATGCCCCAACTTCCCTGTCCCCAAGGAATGCCCTTTCTGTCATCCCATTTCAGAAAATGAAGGACAAGGATGGCAGCAGTCCCATTTCCCTACAGCCCAAAGTGGCATTTGCAGACCTGGGACCCCCATTTTCTCCCTGGCTCCTCCCTCTCCACATCTTACTAGTCACTGCATCTGGTCTGCCTACCTCTCCTATATATATATATATATATATATATTTGAGGCAGAGTCTCGCTTTGTTGCCCAGGCTAGAGTGAGTGCCCTGGTGTCAGCCTAGTTCACAGCAACCTCAAACTCCTGGGCTCAAGCAATCCTCCTGCCTCAGCCTCCCGAGTAGCTGGGACTACAGGCATGCACCACCATGCCTGGCTAATTTTTTCTATATATATTAGTTGGCCAATTAATTTCTTTCTATTTATAGTAGAGACAGGGTCTCGCTCTTGCTCAGGATGGTTTCTAACTCCTGACTTCGAGCAATCCTCCCGCCTCGGCCTCCCAGAGTGCTAGGGTTACAGGCGTGAGCCACCGCGCCCGGCCTCTCCAATATATTTTGACAATGCCAATTCTTCTACAGCTCTCCCTCCACTATCACTGCCACCATCCTAGTCTAGGCTACTGGACAGCTTCAAGGCCTTCTTGCTGGCCTCCCAGGATCCACCTGTGGCATCCTACAGGCCATTCTCCACCCAGCAGCCAGAGTGAACTTTGAAAGGTGACCAGTTGGTCCCCCATGAGCTCTTGGATAGTCTAATGTCTACATTCAGATGTGGAGGTCCTGGGCACCCCTCCACCCAGCTATTTGGTTATTGGAGCCAAGCAACTTCCTGTGAAGTCACAGAGCAGGAACTTCTAAGTGTGGTAACCAGGCTCCTAAATGGGGCTGGTTGAAGGCTACAGACCTAGCCAGGGGCAAACCTGGAACCAGGACACAGGTCTTCCAGCCCCTGGCCAAGAGCTTCCTCGACAGGATACCCTATGGTCCCCAAACATGTTCACAAGACTCTATGAAACCTTCAACGGTTTAGAGAACAGAGGGTTCCACAGGCCTGATCAGAGTAAAGAAGCTGTCAGACCTTGCTGTGTGGCCAGTTCCTCATTCCTTCTAAATTTCTCAGGCCCTCTCCAAATCATGTTTCCTGAGGAAATCCTGAAGAGGCCACAAATCAGACTTTCACCCCTGGGGCAGGACACCAGAAACAAGAGTGCCGGGACTACACAAAGAGCCACTGAGAAGTGAGTTTGTCCTGCTTTTGTTTGGCTCCATCCAGAGTTCTTTCCCATCCTCCCTGTGCCCAGCACACTGAACCGGGTACCCCAGAGATGAGGGTCATCCATGCAGGACTGGTGATTGGAAACGGTGATGAGGGGCGTGGCAGGGCTTCTGTTCTCGATGAGCTCGTACAGCACCTCCTTGTTGTGGACGGTGAGGTGATTCATGTACTCTGAGGGGAGAGGCAGAGTAGTCTCAGCCTCCTTCTCCCCACCGGACCCAGGACTTATCCCCGCTAGGCTAGCCCCTACCAGCGCCCCCAACCCCAAGCCCCAACTCTGGCTCGGCATGGGGATCCATGACAGACACTGCCTCGGCCTCGGGCCCACTCACTGGTCCAGAAGCAGCTGTAGGTGCCCACCAGGCCCATGACGACACTGCTGGCCAGGGTCCAGGTGAGCGGCGGCACCGCGGGGAACGGCCATTTCACGTTTAGGGGCATCTCCACCAACCCCCGCCAGCGGCGGCCGGCGCTCCCCCTGCCACTGGGCAGCCTGTGAGGCCGCTCTAGGTCTCTGTCCTTAACCGCTCAGGAGAGGGGTTTCTGATAGGCCCGCGCACAGATGGGCGGCACGGCGCGACTGGGGACTCGACCAAGGTCACCTCGCGGGTCAGGCCAGAGCTGCACCCGGCTCTGCTCTCTCGCCACAGAGGAGCCGCCACTGGGGTCAAAAGCTGGGGTCGCAGCGAGGGGCGGAAGGGATCGGGAGAGCAGGCCACAGCAGCCACCGGCCGCTCGCACCCGCCGGAAAGCAACCCCGCGACGGCACCTGACTCCCCGCCGCCGTCGCAAAATGCACCGCGCTGCTTGACGGCAGTGGGGGCGGGTCCGCGAGTCGCTTGGCTGTGGCCCCGCCCCGCCGCGCCCTGGCGCGGTTCCCGATTCCAGACTGCCGCTTGCGCTTCCTTTTTGTCTCTTTTTGTTTTTCAAGACTTCACTCTACAGCCGAATCTTTTGTCTCTTTAATTCATCCCTAGAAAAGTCTCTGCAGATGACATGGGCTACGCAGCACGATTACCTAACAACACTAAAGGCCTGGGCTGGCGGAGCACTTTTACTTCATTTACTTTTTTTTTTTTTTGAGACAGAGTCTCGCTTTGTTGCCCAGGCTAGAGTGAGTGCTGTGGCGTCAGCCTAGCTCACAGCAACCTCAAACTCCTGGGCTCAAGCAATCCTTCTGCCTCAGCCTCCCGAGTAGCTGGGACTACAGGCATGCGTCACCGTGCCAGGCTAAGTTTTTCTATATATATATTAGTTGGCCAATTAATTTCTTTCTATTTTTAGTAGAGACGGGGTCTCTCTCTTGCTCAGGCTGGTCTCAAACTCCTGACCTTGAGCGATCCTCCCGCCTCGGCCTCCCAGAGTGCTAGGATTACAGGCGTGAGCCACCGCGCCAGGCCTTCCCTTTACTTTTATTGAGGTAAAAGTCACATAATAGAATTAGCCATTTTATAGTATTTTATACCATCTTATGTTGTGTATAATATCTTTACAATGTGTATATGTTCTATATTACACTATGTAATTTTAAACAATTATATAGTACAATTCTACCTAATTACAATAGTACATGATTGTACTATATATGTAATATATAATGTAATGCATGATAGAATATGTAAGATATGACATATAGTAATATATAAGATGTTGTATATTATATGTAATATAAAAAATAGTATTTTATACCACTTGGTACATTCACAAGTTGTCAACCACTACCTCTAACTAGTTCCAAAACATGGTCATCTCTTCGAAAGAAAGCTCCTCATCCGTTAAGCAGTCTATTTTTTAAATTTTTAAACCACAATTTTATAGATTTAAAAATTTTTTTCTGGCTGGGCACCGTAGCTCACGCCTGTAATCCTAGTACTCTGGGAGGCTGAGGCGGGCGGATCGTTAGAGCTCAGGAGTTCGAGACCAGCTCTGAGCAAGAGCGAGACCCCGTCTCTATCAAAAATATAAAAAATTAGTCGGGCATGGTGGCGCATGCCTGTAGTCCCAGCTACTTGGGAGGCTGAAGCAGGAGGATTGCTGGAGCCCAGGAATTTGAAGTCGCTGTGAGCCACGGCACTCTAGCCCGGGTAACAGAGACTCTGTCTAAAAAAAAAAAAAAAAAAAAAAGTCCAACTTTCTGCCCATCACCACGCCCAATCCATTAGGGAGTAGGCCCTACCAACAGGGACACTGTCCTGCATGAGCGCACTAAAACCAAACTTGAGCGGATTCGGATCCACCGCACGCCTGCAGACCCTGTCCGAATCCTCCAGTTGTCCCAACAGCATCACTACAGGAGTCTACAGGGTATTGAACTGCCAGCTCTCTAGTCCCCTTCTCTCTGGGACAGTTAGTTCCTCAGTCCGCCCTTGACTTCCACAACCATGGGCAGTGAGTGGACTGTCCCTCACTTTGGGTTTCTGGAACGCTTGGCTCAATACGCCCTAACTCAGGAGTGTGCAGCCACACCCGGTGCTAGCGCCTAAGGACATGGAGAGAAGGCTCTTTTCCTCCAGGGTGGCCAAGCTGGCTACGGGGTGCCCCTGCGTTGGGCTTGAGTTCCACCTCCGGCGCCTTCCGCAGCGCTGCTACCTGGAGGCGGCCTGAGCTGAGGGCCTAGCGCCGGGCCTGGGCGAGCGCATCACTGGCGTTCCATTCTGGCGCCAGCTCCTTCTCGCCCCTGGCCCTTGGCACAGGTAGCCGCCCATTAAGGGGCTGCTGCTGCTCCGTCGCGACGGCAGCCAGCTTGCCACGCTTTAGTGACTCATGGGTCTGTCATCACCCGCACCCCCAGCTCCACCAGAGCGCAGACGCACGCCGGCCCAGGCAAGGACGGATCTAGGTGGGAAGGTGGGCGGGCAGGTCGGCAGTTCCCAGGCCCAGCGCTCAGGCCTGGGAACTGTGGGCGACGGGGCGGAGCCCGGACGGGCCTGCCCATCCGGAAGAGTTGGGCGTCCGGCCCGCCCCGCTGGGTGAGTAGGGAAGACAGCTGCTTCTTCCTTTTTCCTCTCTGGTCCCTAAGCAGGCCGGAGCTGCGATTTGGGAATGTCGAGATCCGCTTAAGACTGAGGCAGACATGGTGACAAGCTGGTCTGAGCAGGTATGGGAGGTCTCTGGGCAGAGAGAAGGAGGGAAGAAGAGTTGCCCCCGCCTGGGCCCTCAGGGTTGGGAGGGGAAGGGAACCCCAGCGCTGGGGCCAAGGCTGGTATTGAGAGCCCAGGCTGAGCTTTGGGCTAAGGCCAGAAAAAGTCGCTCTCTCTGGTTCTTCTTGCTTATAGCCCTCATGGTGGCCCCTGGCCTCAGAGCCTCCAAGTTGGCCCATGTCAGCCCAGGGCTGCCCAAATGCCCACATATATCCCAGAATAGTCACCAGGGCAGGGAACCCAAAGTAGCATGAGTGACAAAGCAGGTGCTCAGGGAGAAACAGGCATCAAGCCCAGCCAGGAGGGAGACACTGTGACAGAAAGAGAGGGGAAGAACAAAGAGAGGGAGAGGGAGACCAAGACAGAGCGCAAGAGAGGCAGAAAGTGCCTTGGAATGCAAGCAACATAGGGAGTAGAGTGAGGGGCTGAATCCTGCAAGATCTGGGTGAGCCTGAGACAAAGATAAACCCAGAAATGCTCAGAAAGAGGGAGCTCTAGCTGGCAAGATGAACAAGAAGGGCTTGCCAGTGCTAGTGAGGGTGTGGGAAAGAGGTCCCATTACACATTGCAGTGGGGATGATTTGGCCGTATCTAAGATCATTTTAAATGCATACACCCTTGGACCTAGCAATTCCACTGCTGGGACTCTATTTTAAAGGATAACATCTCACAGGCTGAGGTGTCTCACACCTGTAATTCCAGCACTTTGGGCGGCCAAGGAGGATCCATTGAGCCCAGGAGTTTGAGGTTGCTGTGAGCTACGATGATGCTATAGCACTTGGCCTAGGTGACAGAGTGAGACTGTTTAAAAAAAATTAAAAATAGGCCAAGCGAGGTGGCTCAAGCCTGTAATCCTAGCACTCTGGGAGGCCGAGGCGGGCGGATCGCTCAAGGTCAGGAGTTTGAAACCACCCTGAGCAAGAGTGAGACCCCGTCTCTACTATAAATAGAAAGAAATTAATTGGCCATCTGATATATATATAGAAAAAATTAGCCGGGCATGGTGGCTCATGCCTGTAAGTCCCAGCTACTGGGGAGGCTGAGGCAGGAGGACTGCTTGAGCCCAGGAGTTTGAGGTTGCTGTGAGCGAGGCTGACGCCAGGACACTCACTCTAGCCTGGGCAATTAAGCGAGACTCTGTCTCAAAAAAAAAAAAATAATAATAAAATAAAAATAAATTAAAAATAGAAGTACCATGTTATCCAGTAATTCCACTTCTGGGTATATACCTGAAAGAACTGAAAGCAAGAACTCTAGATATTTATACACCCATGTTCATAGCAGTACTATTCATAATACCCAAAAGGTGGATGAAACCCAGTGACCATTGACGGATGAATGGGTAAACCAAATGTGGTACATACAAAGAATGGAATATTATTCAGCCTCAAAAAACAAGGAAATTCTGACATGTACTACAACACAGATGACCCTTGAGGACATTATGTTCAGTGAAATGAGCCAGTCACAAAATGACAAATGCTGTATGATTCCACTTCTATGAAGTCCCTAGAGTATTCAAATCCATACAGACAGATAGTAGGATGGTAGGTGCCAGGGGCTGAGGGGAGGGGGAACAGGGAATTCATGTTTAATGGGGACAGTTCTAGTTTGGGATGATGAAAAAGTTCTGGTGATGGATGGTGGTGATGGTTGCACAACAATGTGAATACACTTAATGTCACTGAACTGCACTCTTACAAATGTTTAACATGGTATGTTTTGTGCTGTGTATATTTTACTACAATTTTAAAAAAGAAAAGAATGTGGTCACGCCACATGTGCAGATATTGGCAGGTAGCCACGGGGAGAAAGGCAGGAGACCTGTAGGCTGGCGGTGCCACGAGGCTGGTGCTGCTGAGCAGCAGGGCATGCTCCATGCCCTGTTCCATGTCCTTCCAGAACCAGAACTGAGCTCAGCTGGGAGCACACCCTGGAGCAACCTGGATTCCTCTGGGGGGTCCAGCAGCCGCAGGCAGCCATGCACTGCCCAGTCACATTCCTGCTCATCGTCCTGGCCAGTGGGGCTGAGGCCTTTCGCATCTGTGCCTTCAATACCCAGCGGCTGACACTGGCCAAGGTAGCCAGGGAGCAAGTGATGGACACCTTAGTTCAGGTAAGTTCCTCACTTCAGGGAAGCTGTGCCCCTAAGGACCATGACCCAAAGCCCATAGCCCTGGCTGACCAGGGCTATGTCCCAGAGAAGAGGGGGTGGGGAGAGATGTGGTGCAGAGATGCAGAGCATGTTCTTTACCTGCCACTGGTCTCCGTCTCCTCCTCTGTAAATGGGATGTGAGTGGGAATGGCACCCAGACTTCTCCGAGGTCCTTTCTAGTCACTGTTTTCTGTGGGCTGCAACTAGCAAGCCATGACACTCTTAGCCACACCAGTACCAGTTCCCCAGGTACACTTCCCTCCTCTCAGGGCAGCTGGCACTGGGTAGAGCTGGCCTTTTTGGTGTCCTGCAGATCCTGGCTCGCTGTGACATCATGGTACTGCAGGAGGTGGTGGACTCTTCTGGCAGCGCCATCCCCCTCCTGCTTCGAGAACTCAACCGGTGAGGAAGGCTCTGTGGATCTAATCAGGGGCCCACCAAGAGCCTTGGGAGCCCTAACCCTGGCTTTCTTTTTTCCTGGCAGATTTGGTGGCTCCGGGCCTTACAAGTCCCTGAGTAGCCCCCTGCTGGGGCGCAGTACATATATGGAGAAGTATGTGTACGTCTATCGGTAAGCACAGGGGTTGGCCCTGTTGTGAGATGGCTCATTAGTCTCAATGGCTACAGGACCCTTACTCCTGAGGCAGCCTCACCTCATCATGCCTTTTCTCCTCAACAATTTTATTCTGGCATCTTCCAATCCTCTGTCCTAACCAGTGTGTCCATGTAGCAGGAGGCCTTCCTTCTCTATGCACAAATGTGGGCTCCCTCTTCCTCTCCCCTGTGGAAGGTTCTGGGGCTCAGGGCATAGCTCACCTCCTCTCTGGAAATAGGCTCAATGGGGGTTGGTTATGGGAGGACAGGTTGAGTGGGAGGAGCCCTTTGGAGTCAGGATCAAGAGGGCAAGGGGGACTGTCAGGGAAGGAGACTTGTGTCTCTATATAGATGAAATTAGAGGCTGGGTGCAGTGGTTCACAATTATAATCCCAACATTTTGGGAGGCTGAGGCGGAGCATCACTGGAGGCCAGAAGTTTGATATTACAGTGAACTGTGATCACGCCACTGCACTCCAGCCTGGGTGACAGAGCAACACCCTGTCGAAAGAAAGAAAGAAAGAAAGGAAAGAAGGAAGAAAGAAGGAAGGAAGGAAGGAAGGAAGGAAGGAAGAAGGAGAGAAGGAGAGAGAAAAAGAAAGAAAGAGAGAGAGAGAGCGAGAGAAAGAAGAAGGAAGGATGGAAGAAGGAGGAAGGAAGGAAGAAGAGGAGGAAGAGAACGGAAGAGAAGGAAGAAGGAAGAAGGAAGGAAGGAGAAGGAGAGGAAGGAAGGAAGAGAAGGAAGAGGAAGGAGGAGAGAGAAGAGGAAGGAAGGAGGGAGAGAGAGAGAGAGAAGAGAAGAAGAAGAAGAAAAAAAGAAAAGAAAAGAAAGAAAAGAAAGAAAAGAAAAAAGAAAAGAAAAAGAAAAGAAAATTGTATGTCTAGAATTTGTTCCAAAATAACTGGGAAGCTCCTAGCTATCCACCTGAGAGACACAAAAACATATCCCCATAGAAATGCTCGTCACTCACAATAGCCCCAAAGTGAAAATGTCCGTCAATTGATGAATGACCTCAAAGTGTCCAAATGGGCCGGGCGTGGTGGCTCACGCCTGTAATCCTAGCACTTTGGGGAGCTGAGGCGGGCGGTTGCTCACGTCAGGAGTTCGAAACCAGCGTGAGCGAGACCCTGTCTCTACCAAAATAGAAAGAAATTAATCGACAACTAAAATATATACAAAAAATAGCCGATGCATTTACAAATAGTTGATAAAAATAAAAGAAATAAAAAAAGAAAAAAAAAATTACCGGCATGGTGGCGCATGCCTGTAGTCCAGCTACTCGGAGGCTGAGCAGTAGATCGCTGAGCCTGGAGATTGAGTTGCTGTGAGCTAGCTGACGCACACACTCACTCTAGCCTGGGCAACAAAGCGAGACTCTGTCTCAAAAAAAAAAAAAAAAGTGCCAAATGTCCACCAGCTAAAGAATGGATAACAAAATAGCATACCAAACAATGGCATTTTATCATCCATAAAAAGAATGGAGCACAGATACCATTGAAAACATTGTGCTAAAGAAGCCAGTCACAGGCCAGGTGTGGTGCTCACACCTGTAATCCTAGCACCTGGGAGGCTGAGACAGGCAGATTGCTCAAGGTCAGGAGTTCAAAACCAGCCTGAGCAAAAGTGAGACCCCCATCTCTACTATAAATAGAAAGAAGGCCGGCCGCGTGGCTCACGCCTGTAATCCTAGTCTTGGAGGCCGAGCGGGCGGATTGCTCAAGGTCAGGAGTTTCAAAACCAGCCTGAGCAAGAGCGAGACCCGTCTTACTAAAATAGAAAGAATTAATTGGCCAACTGATATATATATATAAAATTAGCGCGGCATGGTGGCGCGTGCTTGTAGTCCCAGCTACCCGGGGAGGCTGAGGCAGAAGGATCACTCAAGCCCAGGAGTTGAGGTTGCTGTGAGCTAGGCTGACGCCACGGCACTCACTCTAGCCTGGGCAACAAAGCGAGACTCTGTCTCAAAAAAAAAAAAAAAAAAAAAAAATAGAAAGAAATTAGTTGGCCAACTAATATATATAAGAAAAATTAGCCAGGCATGGTGCGCATGCTGTAGTCCCAGCTACTCGGAGGCTGGGCAGAAAGATTGCTGAGCCCAGGAGTTTGAGGTTGCTTGAGCTAGGCTGACACCACGGCACTCACTCTAGCCCGGGCAACAAAGTGAGACTCTTGTCTAAAAAAAAAAAAAGCCAGTCACAAAAGGCCACATATTAGTTTATTTCATTCATATAATATATCCAGAATAAGGTATTTTAGGTAGATTTCTACAAGATAGAGAACAGATTGGTGGTTGCAAGGGCTGGGGGGAAGGGTAATGGAGAGTACCTGCTAATGGATATAAGGTTTCTTTGGGGGGTGATGAGAATGTTTTAAAATTGATTGTGGTGATAGTTGCACAACCTTGTGAATGTACTAAAAACCATAGAATTGTACACTTTAAAGAGGTGAAATTTATGGAATATGAATATCTGAATTTTTTAAGTTCTAGAAAAATAGGCTGGGAAGGTTATGCCTATGTGAAATGAAGCCAGGATGGGCTCCCACTGGGCTGCTGATGGAGGGCACCTACCTGGGTGCCAGCTCTGCTGTTGGCACTTATGAGCCAAAATTGGTGTCATGGGGCCACTGCTTCCCATCCCTTGGTCCTCCTAGGTCACACAAGACACAGGTCCTGAATTACTACGTGTACAACGACAAGGATGATCTCTTTGCCCGGGAGCCCTTTGTGGCCCAGTTCACTTTGCCCAGCAAGGGTAGGAGGGGAAGGAGGGTGGGCCTGGTACGTGGGAACAGGAATGGGGTCTGGCTGGCTCTACTGGGGTCACCCAGAGGAGGCTAGGGAAGAAGGGCTGGGAGTGGGTGGCAGCCCTCGGGCCCTGGGTCTTATAGTCCTTCCTAGCCTGGTGCTGGTCCCGCTGCATACTACTCCTAAGGCCGTAGAGAAGGAGCTGAACGCCCTATACGACGTGTTTCTCCATGTCTCCCAGCACTGGCAGAGCAAGGTAGGGCCAGGCAATTTACAAGAGGGAACAGGACACGACGGCCCAGTAGCCAGGCCCAACCGCTGCTCTGTTTCTAGGATATGATCTTGCTCGGGGACTTCAATGCTGATTGTGCTTCACTGGCAAAAAAACGCCTGGATGAGCTGGTACTGCGGACCGAGCCAGGCTTCCACTGGGTGATTGCCGATGGGGAAGACACCACAGTTCGGGCCAGCACCCACTGCGCCTACGACCGCATTGTGCTGCATGGGGAGCGCTGCCAGAGCCTGCTCCAGGCCGCTGCCACCTTTGACTTCCCCAGGAGCTTCCAGCTCACCGAGGAGGAGGTAAAGGGGTGGGCTGGCATAAGAAGGGAGGGCAAGAACGGGGTCACAGGGAAGCCCCTCAGCCCAGGCACTGATGCTCTGTCCTGTCTCCCATGTGCAGGCCCTCAACATCAGTGACCACTACCCTGTGGAGGTGGAGCTGAGCCAGGCAGTGCACAGCGTCCAGCCCCTCAGCCTGGCTACTTTTGCTGCTGCCGTAGCTGCTGCTCTGTCATTCCTGCCCACTCAGCTAAGCCCTGGGCCCTGAACCTCCCAGGGCCTGCTGCTGCCCAGATATGACACTGCCTTTAAGACTCTCAAACCTTGTCCTCCCCCATCCATCCTGCCCTGGGGCTGAAGCAACTCCTGAGAGCCTTCAACTGCAACCCTCCTCCACATGACTGTAGCCTTCATCTGCCTTTTGTTTGGTTTGGCTTTTGTTGTTCTTTGGTTGGGCTTGTGCCTGGTATTAGGAAAGGAAGCCAGGGGCCCTGAGGCTGGACCCATGCTGTCCCTACCCAGGTAGTGTTAGGAGTGGATACAAAGCAGGCTCCAGGGCTGGGGGAGGGGCAGAGAGGGCCCAGGAGGCATCTTAGCTAAACTCCTGCAAGGCTCAGAAAGGGGAATAACGGAAGAGATTTTATATGACAGAATAGAAACTCAGAGAACAAAAAGCCAGATTGGAAGGATATTTTGTTTGTAGCAGATATGCCAACAGGCTACCTTTATGGTATACAGGACTCACGAATCAATAGGAAAACATTAAGACACTAGTAAATATTAATAAAAGGAGAGATAAGCAGTTACACACAAAAAAACTAGTGAACAATAGAAAATGTTTAAGCTCACATAATGCAGCTAATGAATAGCCTGGAAAGAGCCCTGGTGTCTGCAGTAACTGCTGCGCAGCTCTGCTTCCACCACCAGTGTGCTGTTCTTCCGCCCTTCTGTGCCTAGGGCGAGGCCCAGCTGAGACTGGTTACCAGAAAATATTTACCTGAACCAGTTATTGCAGAACCTGAACAGCTACTGTGTGAAATTGCTCAGGGAAAAGGGATATAGAACACACCGCAAAAACAAAAGCTAGCGGTTGTTGGGAGCTGTCCTGGACATGGGAGAGTTAAAGTGCGGTTGCTGTCCGAACACTGGGGTCCTTGAGACATAGCACTTGGCGCCTTGACTCAGAGCTCTGACATTCTTGGCCTGTCTTCTAGCTCACGGAGGGTGCTGGAGATAGCAGTAGCAGTTATAGGTCACTGAAGTAATCCTGTGCACACAGCCCTCGTAGCTTACAGCCACCCCCCCCTGCACATTCCTTTCCCAGAATTGCTAATTACGCTTGGGTGCTCTTTTCCTTGAACTGTCTGAATGAGCATAGTTCAGTATTTGTAGCTTTTTTGGTATCAGAAAAAAGTTAAGTTGTAGATTAGAAAACTGCTTAAGCGAGGGAAAGGGCTATCAAAGTGACATAAGGTTGAAAGAAACAAGAACTGTTTTGCTTTCTGGTTTAACGAAGACATGTACCACCTGTTCCAATGCATTTCACTTCTCCTTTGTTCTTATCTGTATAAATATAGCAACTGAAATAAACGAGGCGCAGCAGTCACCAAGGACTCCATCCTCCTGTCCCCATCTTTTTGTTGTCTCTTCATTTCTCAGCCTCGCCCCTTAACTCCAGGTGCTGCACATGTCACCAGCTGGCTGCTCCAAGCGGTGATCCTCTCTAGGGTGTTAAATCACAGGACTTCTCCCTTCCCCACCCTCCACTTTCCAAAGAACAGAGCTCAATAAAAACACCTATTGGGACACTGTCAGGGCTAACTGTAAACTATAATCAATCAGATTTATGGTTTAGAGCCATCTCACTGAGGTAAAAAAATTTAAAGGTAGTTTAAAACTCTAGAAATAGCATGGTTCAAGCAGTGGTGTTTACAACTAACTAATCGCTAGATTCCTTTGTTCCTTCTCCATTCCTACTGCTTCACTTGACTAAAGAAAATAAATAACACGGACAACTGGTTGAGCCAGATGGCTGCTGGGGCATTTGGTTCATGTCTACCCTTTTCCTAAATGCTGCTGAGGTTAGCTTTGGCACATAAGCCCTTCTCCACCCTCATGGGGTGGGGGTCAGGCAGCAATCAACAGACTCACAGCAGCCTAGGATTGCAAGGGCTTTACTGCCCTTCATTCCCCTTCCTCACTTCTCAGGATCTGGGGAGGTCCAAGTCAAGGCCCAGACTATGCAACTGAGGAAAGGCTAATAGGCCTGGCCCCTTCTAGGGCATTACCTCATTAGCCCTGCTTACTGCCAGTTATACAGCCTGCTTAGTCATCAGCCTGTTCCTTAAATGAAAGTTAGCAGTCCCAGGAGGTTCCTCTTCCCCTCCCCCACAAGAATCCAGGGCAAAAACATAAGTGGACAGAAAGCAGAATTTATTGGGGACACCACCATGGAAGCCCTCATGAGTGCAGGGCCCGCCACTTGTCCAGGGGGCCACGATTCGGGATGTATTTGACCCCACAGCCATCTGGGATGAGCCGTTTCTCAGCCACCATGTCTTCAAATTCATCCGCATTAAACTTGGTAAAGCCCCACTTCTTTGAGATGTGGATCTAGGGAGAGATGGAAAGAATACAGGAGGCCTGGGGCAAGGAAAGGTGGGAGAAGGGGGTTGCAGCACTGCCTACCTTCTGGCGGCCAGGGAACTTGAACTTAGCTCTGCGTAGGGCCTCAATCACATGCTCCTTGTTCTGCAGTTTGGTGCGGATGGACATGATGACTTGGCCAATGTGAACCCTGGCCACAGTGCCCTGGGGCTTTCCAAAGGCACCTCGCATACCTGTCTGGAGCCTAGATTGGGGACAGCACAAGGTCTCACACATGAACATATATCAGAAGGGACTGTATCCAAGGTCCCTTAGAGCAACCTATACAAGCAACAGGTTGCATACACTACCAAGGAGGCTGCTGTTTGCAGCCATTGCACACCGGGCCCCTACGAGGAAAGGAGCACGGTCGGCTTAATTGGCTGCAGGACAGAGGATCCCAAAAGCAACCAATGGGAGGCTCTGCAAGGTACCACCGGGCTCATCTTCATCTGACAGGTCCCTGCTTGCAAGCAGGTATTGTCAGACTCCAAGCAAGGACTCCCATCAGGAGTGCCTCCCTCTACCTGTGGCCCAGAGACAGACTTAATCATGACACTTTTTGGGCTTGTTTGACTTACTCTGCAACAGGGTCAGACCAATCTGGTTGCCAAAAGAGGGAGTATCCATTAAAAGCCACTTATTAGCCATGTCCTGGCCTTCCCATTACCCACAGATGGCTGAGTGTGAGGCCATATCTATGCCCTGACTGATGAAAACCCAAGCCCAACACAGAAGCCCCAAGGAGGCCCAGACTGAGCTCACCTGTCGGCCCCAGCACAGGACAACATCTTGTTGATACGGATAACATGGAAGGGGTGAAGCCTCACTCGGATATGAAAGCCATCTTTTCCACAGCTTTTTACCATATACTTGTTGGCACAAATACGGGCAGCCTCCAGGGCTAGGCAGGGGGAAGGAAAGCAGCAGTAAGACAAGAAAGTAGAAAAGCCCTTACCTCACAACCTCCCCCGGCCCTCAGAGGAAATGTGTTGGCCTAGTGAGTTCTGTAAAACGGCCTACACTTCATGACTGCTAATTCATGAGTGCAGTATTTGGGGTTGGGCTGACTGAGGACATAGGAAGGACTGGGAATGATTAAGAAGAGTCCCGCATCACCTTCAGAGGAGAGCTGCTCATATTCATCTGACACCATGTGGCCACAGAGCGGAAACTCATCCACTTTTGCCTTCTTCCGCCCCAGGTCAAAGATGCGAATCTTAGCATCTGAAAAACACTCAGGTTAAGTGTGTGGGGTGGCAGCTCAGTCAGCAAGCCAAAGCAGCTTGGAAGCTCTTTCACTACTTACCTGGGACGCCTCGGCAGAAACGAGACTTTGGGTATGGCTTATTCTTACAATACCGGTAACTGCAGAAGAGAGGAAAACCCATGTTAGGTGGTTTTCACAAGCAAACTCAATAGGCACTTTGATTGCCTGCCTCAAGGAACAACCAAAGTTAAGGCTAGAAAGGGGGTCAGGAATACATATCAACGTCTAAGTTGTCTCCATTTGCAGAAATTGGCCATAAAGCAACACACGGTCAGAACAGGTGGCTATGACAGACGACACCCACACGAGAAACAATAGCACCAATGCTTTCCATTACCCCTAGTTTTAAAGTTCCTATAAAGCCAACACTTTGAAAAGCTCTCCCAGTTAAAAAACATTCACCGCATGACAGTTATACAGTTCAGCTGACCCTACTAAAGGTCACGTGGCACTAAATGTGCCTGAGGCACGAGAAGGGCACCCGGCGCCCCCTGCAGGGCACGCGTGGTGGCTGCGCCCAATTCCCCCCCTCCCCCCGCCTCGACTGCCTTCTGAGTCCACACGCGGCACGTCGCCCGGAAATAAGGCAGGGATCGCACACAAAGGCCCTAAAGGGCATCAAGCTGGAAAATTCGGCAAATTTGCAGGACAGAGGTGAGATACACGGCAGACGTCGCTTCCAACACGACACAGGCGCAGTACATGTAGTCCAGGGTCAATCCGCCACCCCAGCAACAAAAGGGGTGAAGCGCTATAGAGTGGCATAAACTTTTGAAGAAAAAGAACAGATAGTATAAACAAAAACTGAAAGCGACCTGGAAGGTATTAAGGGAAAACATGGGATCAGTTCCCCAGACAAGACCGCCAAACGAGGGAGGCTCCACACGACAGTCGTTTTTAGCGACCAAGGGCAGTTCTCCCTCCCCTTCCCCAGCAGTGCAAAAGTACAGATTCGGCACTCACCACCGGGCGGGGCGACGGCCCATGGCGATACCAGGATCTTCGGTGGCTGCAACGAAATACAAAAAGTCGGAACACCACACCAGAACAGGCCTTAAGCCAGAGTGAGACCCAGCAAGGGCGCCAAAACAACTCGATACCGCACTTACTCACCGCGCCGAAGGAAAAGAGGCGCTCCCACGTCTGCGCAAGTCTTATATACTCGGCCTATCTTCCCGCGTAGTAACCATAGAGTCTGGACGAGGGTAGGTGGACGCTCTGTCATAGATCCCTACCATAGACGCAGCGGCGTTCTGCGTCTGCGCGCGGGCTAAACCCAGCACATGCGCAGAGCAGAGAGGTGGATGGGCGTCCGCGACCTGGTGACGAATCTGGCATTGCCACGTGAGTGCTAGAAGCCCGCTTCTGGCTGTCCATCCTGGACATAGAACTCTTGCCCTAGGCTTTTCTGTAACTATAATAGACGCATGTTCCAACAGTGGAAAGAAGGAATGTCCACCCCGGTGGCCTCGCAGCGACCGCGCGAGTTTTTCCAAGTTTGGGCGCCCTGGACACGCGCTCCGTGCCTCTCTCTGGGTTCCAGGGCCAAGCAGAGAAGCGCCATGCTGTGGCCTGGGTCTGCGTTCCTTTATCAACCGGGAGCCCTTAGCGGGAGACCGTCTCCGCTTTCCCCTGACTGAAAAGGCTGGAGCAAGCCTTGGTCTGAGCCTTGCGCCGTTCCCCGGAGACCCAGCTGTCGCGCCTCCCAGCGGGGAAGAATCTGAGGAGTAGCCTTCAGGGAGATCCGTGACCGGAGAGACCCGTAGGCACCCTTGGGCCCGCACCCCGCCGGGCTATCATGGAAAGACTGCCGCTCCATCTCTGGCCACGCCCCAGTCCTGGCCTCTGAATTCTTTTGCACCGCCTCCAGTGAGTTTCTGCCCTCCCAGAGCGCAGACGTGTGGCAGTCCCTCTCCTATGCTACTCCACTGTGTTCAAAAAGTGCCTCTTCTGGGAGGCCGAGGCGGGCGGATTGCTCAAGGTCAGGAGTTCAAAACCAGCCTGAGCGAGACCCCGTCTCTACTATAAAAATAGAAAGAAATCAATTGGCCAACTAATATATATATATATAAAATTAGCCGGGCATGGTGGCTCGTGCCTGTAGTCCCAGCAACTCGGGAGGCTGAGGCAGGAGGATCGCTTGAGCCCAGGAGTTTGAGGTTGCTGTGAGCCAGGCTGACGCCACGGCACTCACTCTAGCCTAGGCAAGAAAGCGAGACTCTGTCTCAAAAAAAAAAAAAAAAAAGTGCCTCTGAGCATGATTGGAGAGCTCGTGGGGAAGCACAGACACGCATACACACACAGGGTAGTACCCAAGCACAAATGGGCACCACTGGTTGGCAAATCATGGGGGAAAGGTGGTGTCTGGGCCGGCCACGGTGGCTCACGCCTGTAATCCTAGCAATCTGGGAGGCCGAGGCAGGCGGATTGCTCGAGGTCAGGAGTTCGAAACCAGCCTGAGCAAGAGTGAGACCCCGTCTCTACTATAAATAGAAATTAATTGGCCAACTAATATATAGAAAAAATTAGCCAGGCATGGTGGCGCATGCCTGTAGTTTCAGCTACTTGGGAGGCTGAGGCAGGAGGATTGCTTGATCCCAGGAGTTTGAGGTTGCTGTGAGCTAGGCTGACGCTATGGCACTCACTTGAGCCTGGGCAACAAAGCGAGACTCTGTCTCAAAAAAAACAAAAAGAAAGGTGGTGTCTGTCAGGTATCTGTCCACATTTCTGGGTGTGGGTCACAGTATGGTAACAAAGTCTTGCTCGTGTCACTGGACAAGTGTGGCCAACCAGCGAGGGTATCCTGCTTGAGCACCCCTGTTTTCCAGGATGATATGTCATTTCAGTAACTGGCTGCAGGTCCCTATGGGGAAGGCTTGGAAAGATTTGTGGTGTGCACTAGCAGCAATGGTGCAGGGTCCTACCCAGGGAAACCTAGCCTCCCCTTCCATCACAGGGCTCTGGATCCGTGCACTAATTAATTTAGGTCAGGAAATGGGGTGACAGGCTGTGACTCCAATGGGTCAAGTCAAGTATTTGGCACCTAGACCTAGAGGATTTCTGGTTATATACCTCAAACAATGCTGTAGTAGGCTACCTCTATGTTTTGGCTCTAGACACAGTGTGATCAAGCAGACATCTCCAAAGACCTCTCTGGGCCAAGGCATTCTGGTTGTATATCCCTGCTGACCTTTATGGTAGACATAGCCACCTTCTCCTGAGCAGGTTAGAGCTACCACATGGTCTCTGCTACACAAGGGTTCTGTCATTCCCACAGAAATCAGGGAGTCCACCTCAGTAGTGCCATCATGCAGAGTCATACCTCCATATGGAGGAGAGCACCATAAAGCGCTTCAAGGATGCAGGTGCTCCTACACTAATACCTCTCTCAGCACCTCAATAAACAGAGTGTCTTCTGGATTTCCCCATGAAACACAGATGGGGGACAGAAGTGTGCACCTTGCATGTGATGAATCTACACCAACATTACACTTTCTCTAAGCCTGTGGATTTCCTCCTTTACCTCATACCAGGTCAGGCAAACCCATTAACTTCCGGCTACCATTGAGCACAAGTTTTAGTCAACTAAGAAAGTGAGCTATTGGAGTTACTACTACCTGCATGCACTAACATAATATAATCTGGTCTCTGTACTAAGTGCACCCCTATCAGAGAATCCAGAGCCATCTACTCATGGTTTCCCCTTGTAGGCTACACTCTGAAAATCCACTGTGACACATATAAACTAGAGAATGCTGGTAGATATCAGTCAAGTCTTCACAATTATCATGTAGCAGCTTTTCCTCCTGGGACAGAATGTATGCCTATCCCATTAGAGCACAATGAGATCTAACAATACGTATGAATCTAAAGGCAACAGGTTGTAGTTATGGAGGGTCTCATGGGTAAGGCGTGTCCCCATACAAGGGTCCTGCCCAGGCAAAGTTGTGACAGTTCTCCAGCAAAGGAACACCAGTCCCCCAGACACAAGAGGTCAAGCCACTTCCACTGGCAAGGGAGGCTCAGAGGGAGTGGCAGCTTCCTGAGTCTCAGCTTCAATCGAAGCCAACAAGATGTTCCAGGTTCCAGGTCCCAATCCTCACCAATCACTGCTTACATTACACATGAGAAATGTGGTGAGGCTGGGGATTCAACACATTGGTATTCTGTCGCTCGCACAATTCAACTTCGTGTGTGAGTGTCAGAACACTCAGCCCTGCAGGTACAAGGAGTAAGAGAATGTTAGGGCTGTCCTGGAAGCCCTCTGGTTCTCTTCCTGTGACTTGAACTGAGAGTTAAGGAACCCGAGGTCAGCATGTCTTCACTGTACATAGTCAGGTACACCCACAGAAGTCATCCCACACCACAGTCCTTACAGCCCTCCATGGCCGCCATGACAGTCGGGTGCAGCAGTGACGTGAGCTCCCCAGGCACTGGCTTCGGTTGGTCCATGATCCCAGTCAGCCAAAGGTGGTAGCTGGATTAATTGTGAAGCTACTGCAGGCCATGGATGACTAGCGCCCTGCTCTCCATTGGCAAAATGCTCAGCCCTGCACTCCAGCCCAAAGGCATGACCAGACCCATCCCAAAACTCCACGTATGTAGGCCTGTCTTCTGGAACCTCCCCCAGGACCAATTCGGGGTTAATCACGGACCACTCAGGAGACAAAAAACATACCGACACTCTAGGGGACTTAATTTAAGGGATTGTTTACTTGGGGTTTTGAGGGCTGAACATGTGAAAAGGGATACTGAACTGGATGAAGGAAGAAGCTACCACTCCCAGACCGAGGGGCAGGGGAAGAGGTTGAGGTTATCAAGAGCCTAGAAGCAAGCATGAGGAGCATTGAAGACCTAGGGCTCAGATCTCTGAGGAAGGGCTGCTGCCATTTCTCAGGGAAGGAGGAAGCACTATCATCAGCTATGAAGGAGAACAGGCCAGGAGGAAATCTCTTTGGCATCATCTTCCAGATCACTGATTCTCTCTTCAGTGGCATCTATTTGTTGTTGACTCCATCAGGCGAGATTTTCACCGCCATGACTACGCTTTTTGACTTCTAAAAGTTCTGCTTGCTTCTTTTTCAAATCTGCCTGGACATTTAAACTTATTTATACCTATTTTTCTTCCTTCATTTCTATCTTTATACTCTTTGTGTCTCAGAGACTATTAAAGATCCGAGGAGGGGCCGGGCACAGTAGCTCACACCTGTAATCCCAGCACTTTGGGAAGCCAAGGCAGAGGGATTTCTTGAGCCCAGGAGTTCAAGACCAGACTGGACAGCATAGCAAGACCCCGTCTCTACAAAAAAATTTAAAAATTACCCGGGTTTGGTGGCACTCGCCTATAGTCCCGGCTACTCCGGTGGCTGAGGCAGGAGGGTTGCTTCAGCCCAGGAGTTTGAGGCTGCCGTGTGCTATGATCTTGCCACTGCACTCCAGCCTGGGTGGCACAACAGAGACCTTGTGTCAAAAAAAAAAAATGTTTGGCCAGGCGTGGTGGCTCACGCCTGTAATCCTAGCACTCTGGTAGGCCAAGGCGGGCTGATTGCTCGAGGTCAGGAGTTCGAAACCAGCGTGAGCGAGCCCCTGTCTCTACCAAAAATAGAAAGAAATTAATCGACCAACTAAAAATATACATACAAAAAATTAGCCAGGCATAGTAGCACATGCCTGTAGTCCCAGCTACTCGGGAGGCTGAGGCAGTAGGATCGCTTGAGCCCAGGAGATTGAGGTTGCTGTGAGCTAGGCTGATGCCACGGCACTCACTCTAGCCTGGGCAACAAAGTGAGACTCTGTCTCTAAATAAATAAATTTTTTTTTCCTTTTTTATGTTTTTTTTTTTCAGAGTGGGTTTTCAGATTAAAATTTTTTTTTTTTTACATAAAAACCTGAGGAGTCCGAGTAGCTTGACATCACAGTTACGAAAACGATTTGCAAACATCCATGAGAACTGCTCTCTGATCTCATGAGAATTCAAAAGTAATGTGAATCTTTGTTGGTAAAGTTCACCCAGTCAAGCTTGAGAGGAGAACACTGGGTTCTCTTCATATCCTCCTCCCTTTCTCATGTGATGGCCCAAGGCCTGGGGGATATTCAGCCAGGCTCCCCTCCCACTCCACACGCACGCACGCGCACGCGCGCACACACACACACACACACACACACACACCTTGGAGGGAGGGAAGGGGGAGCCGGAGGCAGTAGAGCATAGTCGGGAATAGGATCAGGCCCTGGAGGCCAATGTCCTTGATCCACATCCTGCCTCTGCTACTTGCCATCTAGTGATTCTGAACAAGCGACTTAAGCCTTCTGTGTCATGCTTCCCTCATGTCCTCATCTGGAACATGGGGGTAATTAACACTGGTAGCAACCTCCGAGGGCTGCTGTGAGGATGGAGTGGATGAGTACTGCTGAAGCACTTGGCACACTGCCCAGCACAGAGCAAACACTCTTGGCCGGTGCTGATAATCCTGTCAGCAGATCTCCTTGCAGTGTCCACAGGTCGGTCTATCCTTGCTCTTTGACCTACCTGCTGAACATTGAGGATGGTGGCCGGCGCAGTCAACGTGAGGTTGCTGGCCATCTTCAGCTTTACCTCTGGGAGTCCCGTGTGGCAATCCTGGGGCGAAGTGTCCCCTCTAGGGAGGGCGGGTTTGCTCTGCCGGGATGCCGGCAGCATGACCACACTAGGGAAGCGAGGAGCTCTCTCAGCCAGGGGTTCGCAGAGACACGAAGCTTCTGCCCACGGCCCGTGGGAAGGCAGGCCCTGCTCACAGATGCTCAGAGCACCTGTTATAAGGCAGGCAGTCTTTCTCGCCTGCTCGGTCAGACCCCAGCTGAGATGGACCTGCTGGCTTTTGGGTCCCTGTGCCGAGGGGCAAGTTGCAGCCCACTCTTCCTTTCCACCCCGGAGGTAGTGCATCAGGAACTCTGGATTTAGGTGGAGAGCTCAGTTCTACTCGCTCACCATCTGAGGCCACAAGGCCTCCTGTCCCAGAGGCCAGCAAGACTCAAGCACCTGGACAGCCAAGCACAGCCTGCTGCTCCTGTGCAGCCCCAGCCTCGGCGCCTGCTCACCCCTCTGTGTTTTCATTGGCTCTTTGTCCCCCAGTCCCCCAGGGACTGCCCTCACTTACTTGTGGCCCAGGTATGCTTGAAATGATGCAACCCAAGGTCTTATAATTGCTCCTTTCCTTGCTTTCTTCCAAACTGGACTGGGTCCCTGGGGGTCTCCTGGTTTATAAATAATAATAATAAAGAATAGATAAAATATTTTTTAATAAAAAAAAAAAAACTAAAAAAATCTGGACTGGGGACACACACACCACTTCCCCACCCCCGCACCAGAGGACAAGCGCTGGGTGCCTGAGAGGCGCCACCCTTGAGATCCCTGCCTAGTCAGCACTGGCTCATGTGACCTAGACCCCCAGCCACAGCTGCACTGGGCCGGTGGGGCCAACCCGCCCAGCTGAGGTCAACCTGGAATTTGCAACGGACACTCAGAAATCCTGCCCAGAGTCTCCTCACTCTCTGAATTTTCCAGGCCACTTTAGGTGGAGGGAAGATGCGGCAGAGGCCCAGGACCCCCAGAAGGTTGCACAGGCTGTTCCCTGCACAAGGACACCTTCCTTGGGAGTGAGGGGACTGCTGAAATCCCTCCCGTGTCCTCGCTTCCAGCTGCGTACCTGCCAAGAGGGCAGGTGCCTTTTGCTAATCGCACACAGGCCTGCAGGGACTCATGGGGACCCGGGAGCCCAGACAGGCACCCAGGAATCCGGCAACCCTAGACGGCAAGGAGAGGAGAACTGCCGCTTTCCACCTGCTGGTTCAGCTCGTGGGGACGCCTCTCTCTTGTCCTTCCTGCCTATGAGCCACCCTCAGATCCTTCCAATAGACGTTCCCTTGCGCAAGCAAATTCAAGCGGGTTTCTCCACTGCTACCCTAGACTCCATCATCTCTTCTCCAGACCTGGGCAACGGCCCTACCCTGAGCACAGCACTGTGGAAGGAGCTGTTTGGCCATGTCTCACCGATGGGAAGGAAAGTCCCAGAAGTAAGAGACTATGTCCGGTGCTCCTCGCTCCCAGCCTCGGCTCGGCACTGCAGGAAGTGCTTGCTGGCGGAGCTGCGGGCAGCAGAGGAATTTGATTCCTCCTACCTGGACTAAGTCCAAGGTCTTCTGGAGCAAAGCAATGCTGACAATCAGGCACTTCCCATCTCCCTGCCAGAGTCCCAAGAAGCGAGGGATGTAGGTGTCTCATGGTGCCAGACAAGCAGATGGGAAGGTTCACTCAGAGAACAAAATGACCAAGGATGACAGAAACCGTCCGAAACGTCATAATGAGGGAGCCGGCAGATCCACTAGGTATGACAAGATGCAAATGCTCGCTGAAGGGCATTGACTGAGAGGCAGTCCACGGATGCATGGGCATTTAGTGTGAACATGGCAGTGACGATCATCGGGAAGAGGCTAGTGTGTGAATAATGGTTTGGAGGTGATTGGCTGTCCTGCAGAAAATAGGAAGGCAGACCGTTATTAGCCACTGCTGTTGAAGCCAGCTGCTGAGACCCACAGACCCTGACTGTGCCAGGAGCCACCCTTGGTTTTCTTCCAAACCTCCTTTGCTGCAAGAGATGGCTCAGGATTCAGGCCGCTCTGCAACTCGGCCACCTTGAACCCGTGGCCCTCCGAGGCAGGGGAAGAAAGCGCTGGACGACCCCATGAGGTGTTTGCAAAGCCCCCCAGGGTCTGCCCCAAAGCCTCCTTCACAGCACAGCCACACTGTAAAGTCTAGATGGTGAAATGGCTAAAAGCAAAATCATGACTGTGAAAATTACAGAAGAAAATACAGACTAGTGTTATGATGTTTTGGGGGGTGAGCACCATGAAAGATACCTGACCCAGAAATCATAAACCAGTACTTCAATAAATTTGCTCACATACAAATGTATAGCTACCTGACAGCCAGAAACAACAAGCAGAGCTGTTCAGGCGAGACAGGCTGAGAGAAAAGATCTGCAACCTAGGTAACAAACGACGGATAGCCATGGTGTATGACAAGCTCCTGCAGGGCACGGGTGGTTCCCAGACTCAGAATCCCAGATGGTGATGAGTTTGTGAAGAGAGATGCTCGATGAGCCCAGGGTGGAGCGGAGAAATGCAAAATCAAAGAAAAGGTGATACCACCTTATGCCCAGCAGAACAGCAAACATCAGAAGGTGGATAATTCCAAGAGTGCTGTGGGAGGAGGAGCGTTCTCGGGTAGTGCCTGTGGGATGTGAACCCCACAGCCGGTCTGGAAAGCTGAGGGGTGGCATTTATTGGAATAAAGTGTGTCCATGCCCTTTGACCCAGCAATCCTACCCCTTGCTATGTCACCAAGAGAAACTCTCAGGTCGCTAAGGTGACATGCAATGCAATGGCCATTGGGCCATGGGTTGTGGCACAGCAGGGGCTGAAGCACTAGGGCTTCGTAACTTGGGGTGGGGATGATCAGATATGCTGGATCCACGTGATGAAATCCTGTGCAGGAGCGTCAACATCGCCCATGTGTCTTCAGGGCCACGGGGAGAGAGCTGAGATGCCCTGGTGAATGAGAAAAGCAGTCAGCAGAATGAGACTACAGCACGATGACAGTTACGGTGGGCAAGAACGTACGCGTATTTCCAAATGACACTGCATGTTTACCAAGGATATGTGGAAATTTAAGGCTGGAGGAGACATCCCAGTGACTTTGGTAGGGAGGGGAACGGGAGCCGGAAGGCAGGAAGAAGGGAAGAATAAAAAGCTCTGGTTCTCCCATCCAATTTCTCTACACTATAAAAAGTTGTTCACCCAAAAGGTGTCGCTGAGGCTGTGGATAAACACTGTGTGTACAATGTGAGGAGGGATGACGTAGGATGCCAGGGTCTTTGGGGGAGGCAATTCCTCAGTGTCTGTTAAAAGTTTTAAGCACGTTATGTTTTGACCCGGTAGTTCCACGGAGAGGTGATTATACTAGAGAGAGACTGACATGACGCTTTGACACGTGTTGAAGGCTGTTGGGTGCAGCATTCATAGCAGAGGCAAAATAAACATGACAATGGCTTAAAAGCACATCAAATGGGGAATTCATTATGTAAATGGCATAACAGTTCAGGGATCCTATCAAATACCACACAGCCAAGAGACAAATGAGCTAGCTAGAGGATTGTGTACTGACATGGAAGGATCTCGAAGATTTGTTCCAAGTGAAAAGAAAACCACAACAAAAGTGTATAGCATTATGGGTTTTAAAAACTGTGAATGCCGATGTTGGTGACTACACAGAAGGATCAAAGAGGAAAACAAAACGGTGTTGCTTAAAATAACGTTTCATAAAAACTTTCCCATCATTTGCTCTAAAAATGTGCAGGGTGGTGATGTTAATTGGTTCAGCAGCTCTGGAGGACAGTTTGGCCGTTTCTGTTAAAACTGCACAGCCACTTCCCAAGGACCCAGCCACTGCACCCTCAGGTGTTGAAGACGCAAGTGGAAACATGATCACAGGGAAACCTGTTCGTGAACGTTCACAGCTGGTTTATTTGCAGCGGTCTAAAACTAGAAACAAGAAACTTGTCCTTCAAAGGGCAGACGCTCAAACAAACCGTGGTTCCCCCAAGCGTGCACTAAATGAAAACACAGCAGTAAGGAGGAACAATTATCAGCACTGGCCACAACTAGGAGGCATCTCCAGGGCATTCGGCCGGGTGAACAGAAGCCCACCCCAGAAGGCTACGTGCTGTGTGGTTCCATAAATGGAATGGAAATGCTAAAGCATGAGGAAATTATGGCCACATAGAACAGATTACTGTAGAGATTATGGCCACGTAGAACAGATTACTGCTTGTCACGGACTGGGAGGAGGTGGGAGGAGGCTGTGTCTATAAAAGGTCAACAGGAGAGACCCTCGAGACTGAACAGGGCTTTCTCCAGGCTGTGGCAATAGGGGCAGGGTCCTACCTGCCCCTATCTGTGCAGGTGAGGCAATGCCCAGGGACGCGCGGGTACACACGCGCGCGCACTTGTGCACGCACCGCGGGGGACATCTGGAGCAGCTCTCGGATGGTACCAAGGCCGCGTCTGGGCCCTGAGACTGCACCTCAGTTGTGCAAGATGCCCACACTGGGGAACCTGGGGGAGAGCATAGCGGCCTCCTAAACGTCTCCTGAGAACAAGAAAATTCCCGTGACTCTAACGAAGGGAACAGGAGTCCACACCCAAACCACGGTGCCGCAGCGCTCCACGCGCACAGCTGGCAAGTCGCGCGCGGCCCTGGCTGCAGCCAGCGCCCGGGCCCTAGCCTCACGGATGCCCAGGCGCGGGAAAAGAGCGCGCCGCGCCCCACGCGTCCCCAGGGACGCGCACACGACGCGGTGGATTTGACTGGGCGAAGGAGCGCCCGTCAGGCGCGGGGGCGGGACTTCTTCCCTAGCCGAGCAAGATCATTGGCGGAGTCAGCAGGAAAAGGACCGGAAGGCGAGGCGGCGCTTCCAGTGGGCGCACTGAGGGAAAGTGAAGAGGGGGACACCGAGACGCGGCAAGGGGCGGGCGGAGTCGGGCGCTGGCCCACCCCGGGCGCCTCGGCACCGTCTTCCGTGCCCTAGGTTCCTGGGCCCGGCCGTGCAGGGGACGCGCCGAGTCCCCCTTCCCCGAAGCCTGAGGTGTCTGCGTCCAACCCCTGGGAACAGGCCGAGGGGGAATCCTTCACCGAGAGCCGGGGCCCGGGCGGGGCTGTCGGCAGCGTTGTTTCCGTCCCGCCCCTGAGGGCCAGTCTGGCCTTCTAGTAGGGCCGGGAAAGAGACGTTGTGCTCCCCAGGGTGATTTGGAGAAGGGTGGAAGGAGGGTGGCGCCCCCAGCCGGCGGCTGAGGGACCTCGGCCGTTCCGTCTCGGGCCACGCCCCGGTCGGTCCTGGCCTCCGAGCTCTCTTGCGCCTCCTTTTGTGAGCTTCTATCCTCCCGGGGTGCTGGGGGGGGCCCTCCTTCCCACTCCACTGTGTCTAGAAAGCGCCTCTGAGTGTGTCTGGGGGAGCGGGGGACACACGGACACACCTCCACCCCCCACCCCGACACACACAGGTGGGCAGAGCTGGCAGGCGAGTCCTGGGGGGAAGGTGGCATTGGTCAGAGGTGTCTCCAGGCTTTCGGAGGTGGGGGGTGGTGGTACCATAACAAAGCCTTAGGCCGTCACTAGAAAGGTGTGGCCCGCCAGGGAGGGCATGTGCCTGGGCAGGGGCTGGGCCCTTTCAGTTCTCAGCCTGACTGCCTCCTGGGGGAGGTCAGTCAATGGGAGCCCCACGGAGAAGACTGGGTGGCTTTTCTGGAAGTGGCTGCAAGCAGGAGCCATCCCTCCCTCCTGCTGTTTGTAGCCCAGAGTTTCTGGGGAAGCCTCGCCTTTCCAGCCATGCTTCCCTCACCAAGGGGGACCCCAGCGTGTAGGCTATGCACAGGCCCCTCAGCTCCTGGCACCCCACCCACCCCATACAATACCTGCCTTTGGCCAGGCTTCACCCTGGTTGGTCTTTGGTTCCAGGATGGCCTGTCATCTAGTTGGAGGGCAGCTCTGGGGACTGAGCATCTCATCTCATTGTACGATCAGAGTGTCTCCAAAAGAATTGCATCCGGATGGAGAAGCACTTTACCTGTCAGTTTCCCTTCCTCTTCTCTCCCATTTGCTTTCCCTTGTCCATATGTCACAGCTCTCTGTGTGTGAACGATGTGAGCCCTTAGTCACATCTTGCTGCTATTTTACCCCGTGTTATCACTTGCCTCTTGACTTTGTGGTTTGAGAGTCGTATTTGGTTGGGCAGAGCACTTTAGGTTTTGCATCATCAAAATTTCCAGGCTCTTCCTACTGGCTTCTGGGGTTGCTTGTCGGTTGGTTTGGTCCTGGCTCACATGGAGCAGTGGTCTTCTCCATTTAAAGTCGTTTAGTAGTTCCTGACCCCGCTGCGTGAGGAATTACCCTAAACTTAGCTCCTTTACGCAACAAATGCTCCTTATCTCCCAGGTCTCTGAGGGACAGGCTC